TGCTAGAAATTTAAAACTACATATGTGACTCATATGTAGTCATATGAGGCTTGAGTCATATTTCTATTGGATGCCACTGGTCTATTTAAAAGATGAAGAGACTAATACCGCAATTCTGGAGGGTTTAGGAAGTGCATGCACACAAAAATATAGACACACACACACACACAGGGTCTGATTAAAATTTAAATACGGCATAAACATGAACTCTAACTCCAGAAAGAGTCCCCTGGCAATCTGAAGTATAAGTGAGGAATAAAAGTAACCGTGACAGCCCTCCCTCCCACCAAGACAGAGATTCCGAGTGACTCAAAATCTCCTCTCCAGCAAGAAAATCTGGCAAAAATACAGCCTCCCTCTAGCACCTGTCCTTCAGGTCTCATCCAAGGCCAACCAGTTGGGGGGCGAGCCTGACCACCCCACAACTGAGACTTCACAGGTGGCTCTGAAGACAGGCTCAACCAGGGGACACGCATGTGGCACGGGACACCTACCCCACAGGGTTCACGTGGAAGTGAGCTAGGGTAACGGATGAGAAACTGGAGTGTGTGCAGCAGAGTGTGACTGCGGCACATCATGGTGGACCACGCAGTCCACGCCTTTCACACTCTTTCTAACCACGACTCACAGAGCAATTCCGTCTCTTATCACGACAGACATCAGCAAGTGTGAATAAAACAAGTTTCACCAGACAACACTCACCTTCGGTATTGTGCTTCGCCTCTGCTGGTTTATGTTCCCTTGTATGCTGTTTTTTTGTGCTGATGGTGACGCACTAAATTGATTCTACAACCCACAAATGGGTCATGACACAGCCTAGCCCGGGTATGGTAACTAAGAGGTACACTCCCCATTCTGTGATGGACATTGCACCCCTCTCTCCAGAATATGGGCGTGTATGAATGTGACCTCAGAATCCTTCTCAACACAGTGATCCAGGCAGCTTGGAGTCAGAATCAGCAATGAAACCTACTTATACATTATCATTGTTCTGATCCCAAGCTCTCATTTTACAAATGCAAACACTGAGGCTCAGAAGGAATAAGTGATCTGGCCAAGGTCATACAGCAAGACTGAGAAAGCTGGGCCCCTGTGAACCCACAAACGTTCCTCACTTCACTTCAGCAGAGAGAAGACACAACCAACACGAAATATTTCAAGGACACAGAAAAAATTCAAATTTCACCAGGACCATGAAAAGTCAGGCTTACACATCCAGTGGAACCCGGCAAGGAAGTTCTTATCGCCCACCCCACCAGGGAGAAGACAGGAGGGCTCTGAGGTCAGAGGAAACAGCATTCCAAGAGCCGAGTCAAAGGTGGAGGGAAAAACTGTATCTGACAACGAAGGAGTTTTTAAACTCTGTTTCTCAAATGAAACAAACCATTGGCTATTTATTTTCCAGGACCAGGGAAAGGTCAGCCTTCCACTGACCAGCCATCTTTGTTGCTTTCCTTCTGCAAAAGCAAGAGGCCTTGTTCAAGTTCACCACTGTGCAGGACTGGAGTATAAGCAAACCCTGTTTCCTTGCTTGGTCCAAAGTCAAGCTATAAAGCAGGCCCTTGAAATTTCAAACCTTATTAGAAAAAAAAAAAAAAAAAAAAAACCTCCTTAGGCAGAGAAGCAAAACATTAAGTAATAAGAGTCTCTACTGTGAAAGTGAGTATAAATGACCTTTCACCAAAATAACTCAGCCCATCATCAAATTACCACCCCTCAAGTCCAATTTGCCAGATTTTTTGCCCAATATTCTAAGAGCGTGTGGTGAGCAGACACGGGCTAATAAAAATTAGCTCATATATCCATTTCTGGTCACATTTCCATCTAAAATAGGAGGTGAAAGAGGCAAGGCCCGGGTCAGATCTCAATCCTGAGAGACGCCAATAGAAACAAAAGAAAACTGACCCCGCCTCCGACAGTACCATCATGCACCTCTGTTTCCTCTACAACAAACATGATCAGAATAAACGATTTTTTCAGGGAAAAACAGGTCTACAAAACAAAAATGATTTCCAATTTCTAGCCAGGAGTTCCCTTTAAAATGGAGGCAACACAACAAAATTTCAGCAGAATGGAACGAAGGAATCTGAGTTGCGTGTCAGGAGAGCCAGGACACACAAAGGGACATGCTGCAATTATTTTTATTCCTTGCACCAGAAATAACCTGTTATCTACAACCCTGACTTTTTCTCAGATGCCTGGTAGGGGTGCCCACCTACCCTCCCCAGCCCAGGGCATAGCTCTCCTCTATCTCTTGCTAAACTCAGGCCTACTGTCTCTTGAGGCCACCAGAGTCCTTGGAAATTATAAATTCTTTGACCGTCCTAGACATCGGCCTAAATAATTCAACAGAAAAAAAATTTTAATTACGCTACTTAAAAAAAAAAAAAAAAAAGCTCATTCCAAATATGTCAGAATGTGGCCAGTCAGCCCTGAAGGATTTTGTTACTAAAAAAATAAAATCTCCCAAATGCAACGGCGATGATGGGAAATGTCGAACCTCTGCCACTGTCAAATATATTTCACAGAATTCATGTCCCCTTAGAAATCTGAATTTCTGCAAAACAGGGTTGGGAATCCATGGATTGGGGCTACCATTTCTCCCAAGACATCTGGAAGAAATGTCAGATTGTTGGTGACTGGTGGAGGGGGTACAGGGCTTCCTGCCCCAGCCCTGGGCGACCCCCCCATCAGCTCCCCACCCAAGACCTCACGCTGCAAATGCTGACAATATCCCCCCGTTTTGGACAGAAAAATGAGAACTTTTTTTGTTTTTGTTTTTGGCTCAAAATCCCCAACAAATTCAATCGGATAGTAAATTCATCACAAATAACCCTCTAACTTTGGGTGGGTATCTTATTTTCACCTGTTAAATTTTAATTCAGTCAATATTTGTCTTCTAAAAAAATTTTTTTTTGTTTCACCTTCATTTGATCTATTTTAAGGCCAAAAAATACATCAAATGCTGTTTGCACATGTGCTTTCGTGTTCCCAATGCAAGAACCTTGCGTTTGGCTTTTGTTTGTATTTTGATTTTTTTCCTTCAAAAATAAAATTCAATTTTTATGCCTGAATCAGTTGAATTGGTGTTTTATCTTATTTTTTTCAGCAAAGTGTTCCAAAAGAGAAGGTGGATAAGAATCAGAATTTTCATCTCCTTCCTCTGTCCTTCCCTTTTTATCTTTCCTTCTTAAGTCAGTAAAATTTGTGCTTTAAAAAAAAAAATCACAAACACCCTAAAAAGATAAAGGCTAATGGATTTTTCTTCCCCTTTGAAAGTAATCAAATTTGTGGAATAAAAATAGCGAGTGTTAATAAACTACCCACCCCAAATCACAATCAGAGAGGCCTGAAACCAATCTGCAATATTTTAAAATAATAAATTTTTCAAATTGGAAGAGTGAGCAACCACAGAAAAAGGAAATTTTTCTTCCTCCAAGAATTCCTCAACCCTGGTCTTTATCAACTGATTCAGTTGTATGTCATAAAAAATGAGCTCCTGTGAATCCACTGTTAGTTTTTTCATAATAATGTTAATTATGCATATCTTATTTTAATGGCGTCTCTCCTACAAATCTGTGGGCTACTCAATTTGTATAATGTAAGGCATTTACATTTTTTCCACTTAATATTGCTCAGGAAAGGTGTCTGACATTTTCTGAATAAAACAACAACAAAAAGAAATGCCTAGACCTTACAGAAAACAAAATCAGAAAACACTCTTAATTATCCCATCAAAACAAAACAAAATAACACAAAACCCAACATACACATGGAAAAAACGAGAGGATTTCACTCTAACTTTTGCAGTTTCTGTTTTTCTTCAGAACCTTGGGATTTAAATGCAGTAAAATGTAAATGCAAAATTTAAAAAAAAAAAAAACCACCTACAATTTCTGGGTGTGTCCAAAGCCAACATTTTAGGGTCTATTTTCTCTTTTAAATCCTTCCTTCTTGGAAATAGAAAATTTTAAATATTCCCAAATGGTGAAATTAGTCTTTTTTGCCCGCTAAGCTAAACAAGTTCCAAATTACAATGAAGTACAATTTCTAATTGCTTCATAAAGCCAATTTCTCCCAGCTTTCCCTAAACTCAACAATTTCCCTCCTTTCCTCATTCCAGTTAGTTTTTTTCTCAAACTAAAATGAGTTAGGCAACCAAAATGACTTTGGTTTTAGGAGGCTTTTTGCTTTCATCCTTTCAAACACTGAATTCATTCAAATTCCAGCTTAATTTTCATTTACATATTATCTGGATTTGGCTTCAGAAATAAAAATTGTCTTCATGCTCCCGGGAAGGTCAAAGTGAAAATTTTCACCCCAAAAAGGAAAAAAAAAGAATCTCTTTCCCCTCCATTGCCTTGTAGAGCAAACTTTTGAAAAAATAAGAAATAAAAAATATTTCTTTTCAATTTTAATTTCTTTTTTATTTACAAAATAGTATCCTCTAGGTGGCGTCATTTTAATGGGAAAAAACTACCGTTTGAAGAAAAATTAGAAAAAAAAATGAGAAAGGGAAATATGGCCTTAAAAAAAAAAAGATTGTTGCAAAGATGGGGGTCCAGAGAGGAAAAACCTCCCGGGGGGTCATCAGGAACCCGGAGCGCTGAGAGGGTCAAGGGGAAATTGCAAATTTGGAGGGGAGGGGGGAGAGCTGGAAGGGGTTGCATTTTTGCAAAATGTGAATTGTCCAAACTGAAATGGCTGCTCTGTTCTCTCACCGCTTTGTTTTCTGGGCTCCGGTCCGAGCCCGGGGCCGGAGAGGGCGCGGAGTTGGGGGTCCGAAAAGACCCTATCGTCTCCCCCACCCTCCTCGCACCCCGCGGCGCCCGAGGTGGGGGCTATCCAGACCCTGACCCTCCCGTTAGTGCCCACAAAAAGCCCGCAAACGTGCCCAGGCACTTTGCATTTGGCAAATTTTGCAATGAAGTGGCGCAGCGCCCCGGGCCCCGGGCCCCCGGGGTCCCCCGCGCAGTGCATGCCCCCGGCCCCCGTCGTACCTGCGGAGCCGCCGCGCCGCCCGGCTGGTTCATGGGTCCGTGCGGGAGGAGGCGGCCCCGGCGCGTCCTGCTCCTCCCGGGCCGGGCTGCTGGTGCGCGCACAATGCCGCCGCCGCTGCCGCCGCTGCCGCCGCTCCCTCCTCCGCCCGCCCCGCTCAGGCCGGGGGGGCGGGGGCGCTGGGGGCGCGCGGGGGGGGGGCGCCCGGCCCTCGCCCCCACCCCCGGCCCGCACCGGCCGCCGCCGCCGCCGCTGCCGCCGCCGAGCCGCCCCCCCGCGGGGCCGCCGTCGCCCCCCGCCGCCCTGCCCGCCCCCGGGCCGGCCTCGCCGCGCGGCCCGCGAGCTCAGGGCCTCGGCCTCCGCGCCACCGGCCTCCGCGCCGCACACAAAGCCGGCCGGCCCCCGGGCACGCCGCTGCCGCCCGCCCGCCAGCCCCGGGGCCGCGGCGCACCCGCCCCCCAAACTTTCCCGCGCCGCGCCCTGCCCTCCGCGCGCCCCCGGGGCCCGCCCCCCCGCGCCCCCCTGCCCTCCCCCCCTTCTGCAGCCCCTCGGAAAAGTCATTTTCAGGTTGGAAAAAAAGTTTGGGGAGCCGCCTCTCAGTGGAACACAAGGGGTTAATGGGAACTCTTCTACTCCCACTACCCAGCCCCAAAAAGTCAGAGTGATTTTTTGAATAAACTTTCTAGAGCTGGCCTGATGGAAGAATCGGAAGGCTCCATGAAGGTATTTCCATTGCCCCTGCCACCCCTCCCAAAAAATCCAATGTCATTTAAAAATAAAAGTTTGAAGAGCTGGCCTTATGTCAGACAAGAGGGGTTAAGGGAGCTCTTTCTAGACCCCCAATCAGATTGGTTTTAAAAATAAATATTTGAGGAGCTGCTTTATAATTACATGAAATGCTGGATGAGCAGAGTATTTCTACCTACCCCAGTAAAAAAAAAAAATTATGAATGTTGATTTTAAAAATAAAAGTTCGAAGAAATGACCCTATGTGAGACGAGAGAGGTTAAAGGTTAAGGGGGGTATCAGCCCGTTCCTATGTCCCCCAACCAAGTTTATTTTAAAAAGAAAAACTTGAGAAACTGTCCTATGTGAAATGAATGGTGAACAAGAATAATTCTATCCAACACTCTAAAAAATCAGATTTTTTCTCTTTGAGGAACTGCCTCCTTGTGACTTGGGAAGTTTTAAGGGGATTTTTTTTTCTGTCCTCTTCATCTGCCCCAAAACATCAATGTAAAAAAAGGAAAAAAGTTAAGTGTGAAGGACCTGCTCCCTAAGGAGACAGGAGGGATTACAGGGGCCAGCCTACATCTCCCACAATAGAGTTTTAGGATAAAAATTTGAAAAACTGCTCATATGAGATTAGAGAAAGCTTTCTCCCCACCACCACCCCCCGCCCCCTGGCCGAGAGAAAAATACAACTATATTTTTTAAAAAATAAAAGCACTAGAAATTAAGGATAAACAGGTATGTTTTCACTACCCCCACCTTAAAAAAAATAAATTTAAAGCACTGGATCGGATATGAGGCAAAAAAGCTTATAGACATTTTTTTCTGTGCACTCCCTAGAAAAGTTATTATTTTTTAAATGTCAGGAAACAGAGGGACTGTACAGAAGACATTTCCTCTTTCTGAAGAATGAAAATGTAGGAGCGCAGCCCTGCGTAGGAGTCATGGCATTAAGAGACAGTGTTACCAAGATCAAACACACACACACCTGCAAGAGGTTAAGAAGGATCTTCTAACCATTCCCCTACCTTCCAAACTTTGGAGAGCCATCACAAAAAAAAAAAAAGTGTCCACTTCCCTCCCTGCCAGCCTGGCAAGGATGTTCCTGGCAGAGGTTCGGCAGCCTTTGCCAAAGCTGCTGTAAGACGGGCACCAAGGGGAGCCAGGCAGCCTGCACAGTTTGGCAGAGTTGGGCTCCCACGGGCCCTGGGTATGTACATGGTGGCCAGGCAGCCCCCTGCCTGCCTGCCTCTCGTCCACCAGGTGGCTGAGGACTTGTCGCCTGGACAGATGACCAGCCTTGATGTCTCTGGCTTCATCCCTATGTGAAGGTTTCTGGACACCTTCCTCAAGGCCAAGTCCTCCCCTCCGCCTAGGGGAGCTAAACCCAACCTTAGACCCTAGAATAGAAAGAAACTGGACCCAAATAACATTGTATCTCAGTTTCCACACTCAGAGCTATAAGGAATTAAGGCCGGGGTTGGGGAAGCCTTTGCTGGGAGTCAGGAAAACGTGATGTAATTAATATCCATTGAGAACTTACTATGTGCCCAGCACTTTATATGTGTAGTAAGGCCGACACATCAGAGCCAAGGATTGCTTGCAGCAGCCCTTCTCAAACTTGAATGATCCTCAATATTGCTGGGACAACCTGTTCAATGACAGGTTGTTGAGCCCCACCCAGAATTTGCATTTCTAACAAGTTCCAGGTGATGCTAAAGCTGTTGGTCTAAGGACCCCATTTAAAAAAAAAGAAAAAAAAACCCACTGCAATACAGCAAAATGTACAGGTGCAGGAGAAAGAAGGTCCCTACTCAGCCTATGGGGTCAACGAAGACTCCAGGAGGAATAACATGCTGCTGGAAGGCTAGGTAGAAGCACCTTTCCTCTCTTGACCGAAATCAGATGGCAGGGCCTCTCTGGCTCGAGGCTTCTTAAACAGAGACCTTGAATAGGTTTGGGAACCCACAAGCAAAGCGATTTGTGCCTGAAGCAAATTTAGGTCTATGCGTACACTTTGGGGGGGGGGGGAGAAAATCTCTCACTTTCATCTTTTTCTCAAAAGGGTCAGTTACACCAACTTGGAATGACCTGCCTGCAGCCTGCTTCCTGGCACCTCTAGCCAGGGAAATCCTTCCTGGTCCCTCTTGGCCTCCTCTTTCCAGAATCACAACAAGCCCTTTCTGCTTTTCTAACACCCACAGGCCACGGGGCTGCGCCTTCTCTCTTTCAGCACATCCCCCCGGAGAGCCCAGAGTGCATTCAACGCCGGCTTGGACAGGCATGTCTGCCACAGGGGTCCCAGCCCTGAAGGGTCTGTCCCTTCTTCACTCTGTCCTGCCTGGGCCATGAAGGGTATGCTGAGGGGACAAGAGCTGAGCCTGCTGTCTTCCTCACAAATCAAATTTCTAAGTGAACGCACATATTTCCAAAACCATTGTGGAAACTCCACCGTCGCCCAAGAGCTGTGATATATCCCTGCCCAGAAGGTTAACTAAGGGTTAACTAGAGGAGGCAGGACAGGGAGAGGAGCCAAGTATTTGGTGAGAGCCCAGGGAACAAGACCAGACCTGTTCAATGATGGGACAGAGGTACCATATCGCAGAGCGGAATGACCATTGGTCAGAGCTGCCGAGAACAGACACTTACATTAGGTGGAAACATAGTCCAGCAGGGACCTCCAAGGGCTTACCTGTTCCCTACGGATCCATAATTCAGTTCAACATACCTACATTTATCAAGTTCTGGAAACTTCTGACCCCTGCCATGCCCGGCCTGCTGCCCCCAGAACCAGCACTGCCGCATTAACACCTACTCAGCTTAATTTTTAAGATCCTGTCTACTGCCTGGGTTCCAACCTTGGCTCTGGCCCTTGCATGCTACATGATCTTGAGCAGATAATTCAGCCTCCCCTTGCCTCCATTTCCTCATCTGTCAAATGGTGCTGACAACAGTATCTCCCCCGTGGGGGTGCTCCGAGGATGAAATGAGATAACACATGTAAAGCTCTCGGAAAATGCCTGGCATAAAGAATGTACTCCATGCGTGTCAGCAATCGGATGCACAGAGACGCGTGTTTCCCACCTCTGTCTCTGACTAGCTGTGTGTGCCTGGGCTGGTGGCTTCACCCCCGAGTCTAGGTTCTGTCTCTGTAAAATGGGGATCTAAAACCCATCAGTCTTACCAACATTCTTTCAGTTGTAACCAGTGGTAACAAAACTACGCTGAACTGGAAAAAGAAGAAGAAGGAAGGTGTTATTAAATTAGGAGGTAGATCGCAGGGCCCAAGGAGGGGAAATGGAAGCCTCAAGGAGGTCTGGAGCTGGGCACTAGAAGACCACCAGGAACGGGCTTCCTCTCGTCAGCACGGCTGGCCGTGGGTCTCTTGCCATCTGAGCCCCAGCTCATTCTCTCTGTCTCTGCCTCTCACCCTCCAAACCCCCTCCCCACCTCTCCCAGGTGGGCATTCTCTGCTTCTCTAGGCCCACAGTCCAAATGGCCACCCCGGCATCCCTTCAGGGCCAATGGCGGCTGACCAGTGTCTCTGGGTTTCGATCCATATTCTCAGGGCAGAGATGGGATTGACCAAGCTTGGCACAGGTGCCACAGGAGCTGGTTATGAATGACCAAGGGGAGCAGGGTCCCCTAGCACACAGAGACTTCTGAGACCCACCCCAGGGGAAGGAGGTGCAGTGGGAGGGCAGCCCCTCACATGTTGAGCCCCACTGAGGCCTGTGAGGATCCGCCGAGGTCAGGGGTGTGAAGCGCCAGGCTCGGGGTCTGAGGCGTGGGCACACTCAAAAGGTAGGTTTCCTCCTGCTGGAGTCTGGAGACATCTGGGTAATGGTGGGGGTGGTGGGGGTGGATGATGGTGAGATTTTGTTGAATGAGGGTGGTAAGTATACGCCCAGCTCATGTCACAGGCAGTGAAGGGAACAAGGAGACAAGAGTTGCCTCTGTAATGGCCTTTGGGTCACAAAGAGAAGCTGGGGCTTGGCTCACACCTTGTGGGTAGATCTTGGTGGAGAAAATGCCTTTTGTGTGAAACAGTAGGTTCTAAAGGGTGTGGAACAGAATCAGGCAGGGACTTCACAAAACGGTGTCTTCTTCCTCAAGCCAGGTTTCTTTATTAAGGCTAAACCAGGAGGGAAGTGGTCACTTGTGACAGTCCCTCCAGTCCCTCCAGGCTCCCCGAGTCTCTATAAAATGGGAGAGCACCACACATCCAGCCTTGTAAAATCCCCTAGCAATTTATCAAACAAGATGGCAGCTTTTTTTTTTTTTTTGATACACCTGTTTGAGGTGGGCAGGCAAGGTACGATCCACCCCCGTTTTAAGGATAAGAACTTGGAGGCTCAAGTCTTTGGCCAAACCAGCCGGTGGCAGCCCGGTATGACTGAAACCATTCTCTCCCCACGGTGCCCTGACTGTC